TTTTTTTTTTTTTAATGAAACCTCTTTATTTCGTGATCTTTGTTGTCACTGTTGTTGTCATTGCCGTTGTTGGTGGTGATTTAACGTCGCTAATGTCAATAGTCGTACATGTATGCCTATGTAAGTGGCTATTTTTTTTTTCTCCTGTTATATTAGGCGGAATACGCGCTTCCAGAACAGTTCAAGAGCACATGGAATGGCAAGACATTTGTTACTACATGCAGTGAATCTCTTGGATAAATGACCGAGTTTATCTAAACTTGGATTTGCTAGGCTACATGGTTAAAAACAATTTTCAGTACGCACAATCTAGTGACAAAATAGCTTGCAATATGACCATTACTCAGGAATCCCTTTGCAAAAATTTTAAGATAAATTGCAACATATCACTAGCGAGTTTCAGAGAGCTGTATGCTGTTATTCGAACATGCAGCTAAATCTTTTGCTCGTTGACTAACTTGATCGTAGGCATTATAAAGTTGATCTTATCTTTATATAAATTTTAGTAATTATTGTCGCAGTAGTTTTGTGATTTTTGCTAGTTAAATAAAAATCTCATTTCACTTGGAAAAGTGATTTTTTTTTTTTCAAAAATGTAATGTTGCATTGATTATTAGAGACGAAGAGCTGCTTGTATTTTTTGTATTGCACGACATTGTCATTTTCAACGTCGAATGCTAATTAATAAAGAAAATATTTTAATTAGTTATAATTCGAAATAGAGCCATTATTAAGTTGCATATCCCATTGTCTTGGCCCTGGTGTGGAAGAGAGTGCTTTATATCTCTAGAAACATGAAACGTGAAGGTTATAGAACAAGGAAGAAAACTTTTACCTAGTTAAAGCTTCATTTAATTAAATTCCCTTAAAGTTACGGCACATGGATGGATGCCTGAACGAACCAATCACAGCACGTGAGAAAATAAGAACGAAAGGGCCCGTTTAAAGCGCGGGAAAGAGTCTGGAAAGCCACCTTGGTTTTATTCTTACTTTTATCTTACCTTGATACGAGCCAAGTGAGCCGGTTAGCTCACAATGAAACGGCTAGGAGTATTTCTACTCTTCCCTGCATGGGATGCTGGTCCATCGCAGGGTTATCCCCCAGCATTGAATTCGCCGGTACTCATTTATACACTTGGGTGGAATGAGGTACTGAGAGAGTTAAGTGTCTTGCCCAAGAACACAACACAATGTCCCCGGCGAGGGCTCGAACTCGAACCACTCGATCCGGAGTCGCGGGCACCAACCATGAGGCCACACACTGTTATTGCGAATGAAATACATGGAGAAATGTTAGCTTTATTGAGCACATTACACAGCGAACTAAGCTCTTCATTTTATGTCTTGGTTACGCGCGCGCTCATAGATCTATGGTATTTCAATAGATCTATGACCACGCGCGTAAGCAAGACATGAAATGAAGAGCTTAATTCGCTGTGTAATGTGCTCAATAAAGCTAACATTTCTCCATGTATTTCATTCGCAATAACAGTGTGTGGCGTCATGTTTAGTGCCCTCGACTCCGGATCGCGTGGTTCGGGATCGAGCCCTCGCCGGGGACATTGTGTTGTGTTTTCTTGGGCAAGACACTTAACTCTCAAAAATGTGTGTATGAACTCACATAAAGAGGAACCACGTCAAAAGGCGCGGAATGTTTACTCTAACAAGGAAGCAAAAACCACAAGTTTTTCCTGAAGTCAAAGACTATTTGAGCTAACTTGTGCTTCTCTTGCTCTCGCACTTGTGGATTTTGTTACTGTTTTGACGGCCTCATATTGTTTGATTTACCTCGGGTTGAACCTCGACCACTTCTATTTTGACGAATATAATGGAGAGAAGAATAGGTCAGAATAAGAGCATCCTCGGAGACCAAGCGATATTTTCGGGCGAAAGTTTACATCAGGAGTGGCTCTCCCGCTCTTGATGTAAATTTTCGCCCGAAGATATCGCATCGCCTTAAAATATCGCATTGCCCCGACTAGATGCCCCTGAGTCTCCGATGGATGTGCAAATGCTATGTTAGTTCTTACATGACAAGGTAAATTAATGGTTAAGGATACCGCTTTCTTGAATTATGCGTTTGCGCAAACTCGTTCCCAGTCTGCTAGTGCGACGCTGTTGCATTTTTATTGTTTTACATTTGCTCTTCCGGCTTCCGAACGATACAGCTTCCCTTTCTTGGCTGCTATCAACATAAGAACCAGCAGATAATAGTCTCTGTCATTTATTGGCAATTCCCTCTATGGATGACACGAACAACGAAAGCCTTAACCACGGGTTAACAGGTACAGATGAACAGTTTCACTCACAAGACCCAATGGCCGATGTAAACAATGCCGAGAGTTCTGTTCCATCCCTGACTGAAATGCTGACTGTGATTTCGGAATCAAGGGAACTTACACAGAATCTACAGGATTTAATGCTATCATCTACATGTACGAGTCACAATTCACACAACTCAC